ATTCCTGCTTTATGAACCCTCGTCCCAGCTCTACTGAGCCGCTGTGGCACCGCCCTTTGGAAAAGGGAGAGAGTATTTTGAGGATATTCCACCCAGAAATGGGACAGAGGCTCTCAATCACGACTTACTTTGGAACATCCAGAATCAGTATACCAGACAGACAGACACCACCACAGGAGCACAAGTTTGTACAGATATGTCCATAGATCTATATTTTTATTGTTTTATATATATTTGTAATATATATTTTTTAAAAGAATCCTTTAAAAACTACCCTCCCACCTAGCAAAACAAAGATTAAACAATCAAAGATGGCAGCTGCGCCCTGGAGCAAAGCATCCCAGGGGTCTCCTAGAGCCAAAATGACTGCCGAGCACCAGCGCGCTCTTTCCAAGCTTCTGTGATGCCCGGCGGGTGCAAAGGTGACTGACACAGTTTCGTGGCTCTTTAAATTGACCTGTCAAAAGGACAGGGAGAGAGAAAGAGAGAAACCGTGGCCGTGGCGATGGGGGCTTGAGGGGTAGGGGACACAGCAACGCGTACAACTGCAAGCTTAGAGTGTGAAATGCTGTGATGAAAAGGAGGGAGGCATTGCCTGGGAAGTCGGTAAAGCAGGTAGGAAAGAGAACAAACATGCAGGAGAATTAGCTGGCAAGATGGATCTCGGAGAGGAGCTCAGAAGGATCACACCTGGGACCCTCGCTACCCCTCCGTCCCCCCAATCTCTTCCTCTCACCCTCCCAGTTGTGAAGGGAGATCCAACTAGTTTGATTTAGACCAAATCTTCGCACTGCCCCGGAGCCTATGGAGAGAGGGGAGAAGAAAAAATTTCAGAGTGGACACCCAGGCTCACCCCGACTTCCTTTCATAGATGCACACAAAGAAGAGCAGCTGATGTTCTTTGCAAGAGGAGAACGCAAGGAAGGCTCACGAACTCTGCTTCAGATGAAGAGCCGCAGAGATCTCCCCTCAAGTTAGCGGGAGAAAAGCTCAACTGTGACTACATCTCTGACCACCCCCCGTCCTCCAGGGAGCGGACCCCCGCAGCCAGTAACCTCACCGCCCCAAAACAGGGCTCCTCTCGGTTCCCCTCCTGAACGCACACACTGTCCGTTCGCTCCCTCCTCACTCCTCACCCTTTGGCTTTGGAAGTTTTCTTGCTCGCCTGGCGCTGGTTGGTGCCAGGGGCCGGCTCCCTGAGCTCTGTTAGGTGCTGCTCCGGGTCTTGGGATGTGGCTGCTGCAGCAGCTGCTGTCGTCACTTTAATGGTCTTCTTCAGGTTTGCCACCTGCAACAGCAGAGAAGCAAGAACCGAGGAATTTCCCACGTTTTTTAGTTTGTTTTAGGGTTTTTTTGTGTTGTTGTTTCCCCCCCCACCCAAAACAAGCCCTGGAGTTAAGCGCTGCCAGCTCAGGTAACAAAAGAGTTAACAACTGTCCAGGCCCCTGTGCTGCAGAGGAGTGTTCAGCTGGTTAGGACACTTCTTCAGGCACAACCCTCTGGGGGGTCTGACCTAGGGAAAAGGTAATGCCCTGCTCGAGCAAAGACCGTAACACTCACAGGGTACTGGTTCCCATTATTTTACGGTGAGGGGCGCTGGCTGCTCCCACCTCAGCCCACTCACCTCGCTCTCTATCTGCTGCTTCAGCGCCAGCTGCTGCTCTTTATGCTGGTTCGCCCGGCTGACCTGTTCCTCGATGCCTGACAGGACAACCTCACAGCCCTGGCACCTGGAGAGAAGACGCAGAACTGAACAGGCCAGGTAATTTACGCAGCATAGGAAGAAATGTGAAAGATGACAGATTTCAACTTTAGAGGCGAAAAAGACCGCAAGGTGACAGCTACAGCCGGCAGGGAAGAAACAGGAGCTGGAGTTGTAGAGACGTTACTACCTGTGAGGGGGACAAATAACGACGTGGCACGAGGTTAGGAACTAAAGATCTACACTCAGAAAGCCTTTCCCCAGCAGCCAGGGCTGCCCAAAGGTTGCGGCGGTCTCATCGCCCCGCCAGCAACAAACAGGGGAATTTGGAAAATTATTTTTGGAAAATTATTTTCTACTGGAGTGTGGGAAAGGGGATTGGGTAGGCCACCTCACAGCACTACCCCGCAGTGACATGCTGAGGATCCAGGGAAGCTGCTGGTCACTCCTGCAACCTTTTTTGGGTGTTAGTATCAGGGGCTTCCTCCTCACCACTCCTGCAATGTGCGGGTGATGGTGCTTAGCTCCTCCCTCCGGATGTCCCTCCCAATGCTGTAATCCACCTCCAGGCGCTGGTTCCGCTGGTCCAAGCTCCCTCGCAGCACATCTGCGTACACAGCCTCAATCACGAGGTCCTCCAGTTGCCTGACGTTCTTCAGCTGTAACTGCTCCAGCAGCACCGAGTAGGGGATGCACTGTGGAAACACGATGGTAACTGGCATGAGGTAATTCCAGTGGAAGGAGAACTCGGGGTGGGGGAAAAACAGGGCTGCTACCTTGATCTTGGCAGCCAGAGTGACGACTGACAGGTGCCTCAGTTTGTTCTTCTGAGCCTCTGTCAAGGGAGGGAGGTTTGCTGCTTCAGCTGTTGTCAGGGGAAAGAACAGAGTATAAGAATTTATGTCTCATTTTTCATTTCCCAGCCCTGCGCAGCAGCACCCACTTCTGCTCACCAACCCCCCCAGCGACACTTCGTCCTGCCAAGCCATCCCCA